GATTTTCTCCTATGTCTTCTCCAAGAAATTGTATACATTTAAGTCTATGATCCATTTTGAGTTAATTTGCATATATGATATGAGGTATCTTTTTTCTTGCAATTTTATTTTTATTTTTTATTTTTTTTGTAGAAACGAGATCTCACTAATGTTGCCCAGGCTGGTCTCGAACTCCTGGTATCAAGTGATCCTCCTGCCTCACCCTCCCAGAGTGCTGAGATTACAGGCATGAGGCACTGTGCCTGGCCTTCTCTGCAGGTTATGTGTATATATATATATGTCAGCCAGGTGTGGTGGCACACACCTGTAGTCCCAGCTACTAGGGAACCTGAGTCAGGAGGATCACTTGAACCAGGAGGTGGAGGTTGCAGTGAGCCAAGATGGCACCACTGCACTCCAGCCTGGGGGACAAAGTGAGACCCTGTTTTTTTAAAAAAAAAAAGTGTGTGTGTGTGTGTGTGTGTGTGTATGCCTGCAGGGCCCTATTGTGAGTTTGTTACACAATTACTGCAACTTAAATAGTGCCACCACTCCACCATATAGCAAGCTAAATAGAAACTCATTTATGCTAAGGCTGGTTGAGGGCATTATAGAAGATTAGCATGGAAAGGGCCCTTCATTTCGCACTCTGCTCCATTCATTTTTGTCAGGTCACTTTCTTATCTTCACCACATTGTCAGATCTGTTTTACCGCTCTAGCCTCACTTCCCTCAGCTTCCTGCAGCATCTTCCCTGTCAGCTAGATCCCTTCCTCTCTGGATGAAGTCCTCTTCATCGACCAGCTTTCTCACTTGGTTCTCTAAGACAGTGAGGATCTGTCTGCTTTTTTCTTGACCATTAGCGGATAGGAAAAACCTCTCATTCTCCGTAACCATTTGTCACCAAGGCCATAAAGACATTGAACTAACTGCCTTATGGGAGTTCGTTATTGGAAGTCTTCAGTTTACACATTGATATACAAAGTAAGTAGGCCAGTGCATTTGAGTCTTGGCTCATGTGTAATGATCTTTAATGCGTATTGAAAAATTATTCTCAAGTAAGGATAACATATACCTCAGGTCATTTACAGTCTCAAAGGTTTGTCAGTATACTTTAAAACAATCCTGGGAACAGTTCTAGATTGAAGGAGACTAAAGAATCATGCACTAAGTGCAATGTCTGATGTTTGATTGGATTCTGAATTTGTTTAAGCCATGTTATGACTGGGACATTGTGAAAATGTGTATATGGACTACATAGTAAACAATGATAATATTAAGTTCCATTGGGTGATGATAGTATTCTGGTTATGTAGGAGAATGCCTTGGTTCTTAGGGGCTGCACACTGAAGTATTTAATGAAGGGTCATTATGTCTGCAACTGACTCTCAAATGGCTTGTCCAGAACACGTGGAAAGCAAATGTGGTAAAGTATTAGCAACTGTTGATTCTAGATGAAAGTTATACAGGTGTTCATTATACCATTCAAAAATGCTTTTCAGCCATCCTAAGGCTTAAAGGAAAAAAACAAAATGTTTAAAATAAAAAGTTGGGGGCAGGAAAATAATACAAAACCTCTGCTTTCGTGCCTATAATCCCAGCACTTTGGGAGGCCAAGGAGAGAGGGTTGCTTGAGCTCATGAGTTCAAGACCAGCCTGGACTACATGGTGAAACCCCATCTCTACGAAATATACAAACATTAGCCAGGCGTGGTGGCACACACCTGTAGTTCTAGCTACTCAGGAGGCTGAGGTGGGAGGATCACTTGAGCACAGGAGGCAGGGGCTGCAGTGAGCCGAGATTGCACTGCTGCAGTCAGCCTGTGTAACAGAGCGAGACACGGCCTCAAAACAAACAAAAGAAACACCTTTGTGTCAGAGTTAAGGTTGCTGTATAATAAAATGCTGGGATACGGTTCTGGGTCCATTCCACATGAAGATCAGAGGCTTCCACTGGACCCAAAGGAGTAATACCAGTCCCTTGTGATTATTCCTCTGTAGGTTTGAAAGATGTGTCAGACCAACTTATTGGATGCAGTTTTAATCTAAAACTCTATATACATTTTACCCCCAACTCATAGACTTCATGTATCCATGAAACACTCTTCTGTCTCCACAGTCTTAATGTGGCCCTAATAAAGCCATCCTTTTGGAGGACTCAGAAAAGGCCCCCCACAACCTCTGCAACATAATAATTATGGTAGTTGGCCAGGCATAGTGGCTCATGCCTGTAATCCCAGCACTTTGGGAGGCCAAGGCGGGTGGGTCACGAGGTCGAGACCATCCTTGCTAACACAGTGAAACCCTGTCTCTACTAAAAATAAAAAAAAAAATTAGCCGGGCGTGGTGGCGGGCGCCTGTAGTCCCAGCTACTCGGGAGGCTGAGGCAGGAGAATGGTGTGAACCTGGAAGGTGGAGCTTGCTGCGCCACTGCACTCCAGTCTGGGAGACACAGCGAGACTCTGTCTCAAAATATATATATATATATTTATAGTAGTTAACTGCTATTGAGCACTCACTGTGTGCCAGGCATTTTTCAGGTATTGATTTAGTTAATCCTCAAAATTCATTAGAGGTAGGTACTGTTATAATGACAAGGCCGAAAAACAGAGATTAAGCAATTTGCCCAAATTCACATTATTAGCGGAGCTGGGATTTAAGCCTGGTCTGGCTGTGGAATCTGTATTCTTAATGACCCTGCTATACTCCCTGAGATTGACCTTTTACTCCAGTTACAGGGATTGTCTTTATCTCTCTGAAACTGCCCCCAATAAGCCATAACAATAAACTAATCAATTGTCTTGGTTATCTCTTCTTCCCAAATTTATATTTTGAATAAAAATTCAAACATGCCAGAAAGATGAAAGAATAGTACAGAAACTAATCGAAGATCAGGCACTGCATGTCATGTCTTCGTTTCCTTTAATCTAAAACATTCCTCTACTTTCTTTGATCTTTCATGACATTGGCATTTTTTAAGAGTCAAAGATAGTTGTCTTGTAAATTGTCCCACAATGTATATTTGTCGGTTTCCTCATGATGAGATTCAAGTTCAGGTTTTTTGGAAATATACTGCATAGGTGATGTATCCTTCCTGCCTCGTAACCGCAGGTGGCCTGTAACACTACGTTTGATCACTTGATTAAGGTGATCTTCCAGATCTCTCCATTGTAATTATTTTGCTGGGTGCAGTGGCTCATACTTGTAATCCTAGCACTTCGGAAGGCCGAGATGGGAGGATTGCTTGAGTTCAGGAGTTCTACACCAGCCTGAGCAACATGGTGAAACCCTGTCACTACTAAAAATACAAAAAAATGAAAAAAAAAAAATTAGCTGGTCATGCTGGTGCAAGCCTATACTTCCAGCTACTCAGGGGGCTGAATTTGGAGGATCACTTGAACCCAGTGGGGGTGAGGTTGCAATGAGCTATAATTTTGCCACTGTATTTCAGCTTGGGCGACAGAGTGAGACCTTGTCTCATAAAAAATACTAATTTTCCCCTTGGTAATAAATAATCTGTGGGTTGGTACTTTGAGTTCAGTGAAGATCCTGTTCTCAAATGTCTTTTCACCCAAATGTGCATCAATGATAATCCTTGTCTGAATGAAATTTTATTACATTGGTGGTTGAAAAGTGACACTTTCAAAAAATTCTGTCATTCCTTCTACATTTACTAGCTGGCAACTATTTTGTTAAAGAAAAACTCCCCCTCTTTCTTTTTGAATATCACTCTTCATGGATTCTTCTTTATATTAACTATGTTGTAACTTATTGTTATTATTCTTTTGAATGATGGAATTGTCCAGATTTGACCAATGCTATCTGTTATTTTTTAACTCCACAATCCAGGTTAAACTATTTTTAATGCCCAGAGTAATTTATATTTCCCACTCCCAACAAGAATTGAGAAAGGGCCTCCAGAAGTTGGGGACTTACTCAGACTCTTCTCTTAGAAGTCTAACCTTCTTCCTGTGTACGTTCAGTCCAAAGTGAGACTTTAGAGTTGGGAAGAGATACTTCTGAATTAAACTACTGATCAGTATCACCCAATTCTAATCCCAACCACCTTTATTCTAGGCATACCATGCTTACCCTTTGGTTGGGCACCTCTGTCCTCCTTCCTATTGGCCTTCTGGTTCCTACCCAACTGTCCATCCATAGGCTTCAATAACACCTTTTGGCCCACCCCTGTGAAAGCATTGGCCTGCCCCCTTTACCTACTCAAGTAACCTCTTTACCACTAATTTATTGTTCTTTGTTTTCATCTATAGGATCTTACCTAGCCATATGGCCTGCTGCCTCTGCCAATTTAAAAACAGCATTGAGGCTGTCTGCAAGACAGTCAAGCTGCATTGCAACAGTGCATGTCTGACAAACACCATACATTGTCGTGAGTCCAAATTACCTGGTGATCAATTATAACATTATTTTAAGTATTTGTTTTTAAACTTTTTATTTATAATGATAAAATTTTAAGCTAATGATATAATTGCTTTATTTTTATTTACTCATTCAGCGTTAAACTCCCTCAATTTCTGAACTATTCCCTTGCTGAGAGTCAGGTTCTCAGTTATGATTACAAAATTTAATAACAGAACTGTTCCATATGCACAAAGGACCAAAACAAAGGAATGGGAAGGCTAGGGAGTAACATTAACATCCACACACTGGGTACTGTGCTGTCTGCTTGGTGCTTTGTCCCCAGTGATAATTTCTTCATACAGTGCAATGTAGTTTGTAAGCTCGTTTTTTTTTCTTTTGAGACAGAGTCTCGCTTTGTCACCCAGGCTGGAGTGCAGTGACCGGATCTCAGCTCGCTGCAAGCTCCGTCTCCCAGGTCCACGCCATTCTCCTGCCTCAGCCTCCCGAGTAGCTGGGACTACAGGCGCCCGCCACCACGCCCAGCTAGTTTTTTGTATCCTTTAGTAGAAACGGGGTTTCACCCGGTTAGCCAGAATGGTCTCGATCTCCCAACCTCGTGATCCGACCGTCTTGGCCTCTCAAAGTGCTGGGATTACAGGCTTGAGCCACCGCGCCGGGCCCTGTAAGGTGGTTTTATATCCATGCGGTCTCGAGTACTCTCGGCCTTGTAGGACAGATGTAGATCCGGTTTTGGTTTTTTGTTTTTATAGTTTTATAAGAATACAAGTGATGCTGTTTTATTTGAAGCCTGAGAGCTTCTGGTTCCATAACCAGAAATTGCTGCCTGGCTCTTCTAATGGAATGGAGGGCTTTTCCATGCTTAGACCATCTAACTCTGAACTTGCTCTGAATTCAAACCTTTCTCTTCACAGAACAAATGTGCAAGTGCTTTCAGGAGTTTTTCTGTAGATTAGGTTTATTAGCACCAAATTCATGACTTCTAAAATGTGACTGTTTTCATGTCCAGATAGCTTGAATACAGGTATCTACCAGTGATACAGGGTGGATAATTAATAATGCTTGGCTACACGACGTCAGTGGTGCTCATTTTTAAAAACTTTTTTTTTTTAACTAATTATTCCCTTCTCCTGAAGAGGTGGGCAGAAAAGCATTGGTAATCTCCTTTTACATATGAGGAAAAACAAGATCAGAGGTGCTAAGTGCTGTAGCCTTGTGCCAGGTCTTCTGTCCCCAATTCTGGGTTCTCCCCAAGCCCATGTTTCTCCTTTCTCACAATCTTTACTTCTTCCTCTGACCCTCAGCACCACCTAAAATACTTTTAATTCTGGAAAAGAAAGCCAGCTGCACACGGGCACACTTGACCTTCATGCATTCAGAAGCTTTGGATGGTTCCCCATCCAGAATATTAGAGATAAAATGAAAGCAAAGTAGGCAACTGATAAAAGTTGCTTTTTCCCTTCTGCATTATAGGATCTCAAGTAATGTTTATCCAGAAACTGCTGTCATACCATAGATTCATTGTACATTCAACAACATAGGCATATAATCTGGCAAATTAAAAATCCCTTAACCTACCCCCTGAATCCCTGCCCAAATTTAAGAATTAGGGTGGACACAGTGTTTTTTCCCATGTCACATTTTCTGTGATGGGGCTGCGATATGTGGGAGCAGAGAATGGGGTGGGAGGGTGGAGCACGTGCCAGATGAGAATCTATCCGCAGTGGGAGGGGCTCTCCACGTTAGCATCTCCACCCTGCTCCTCTCAGAGGACCGCCTTTCACTGCATTCAGCTGTGATGGTAGCAAGAACACAGGCACACCGAGGACAAGGAGAGAGGGAGCCTTTACTCTCTCTGCATATGAGGCAGGACAGCACAGGGTACGGAGCAGTCTGCAGAGAGGCCAGATCATCGGGGAAGCATTTGTCTTCCACCTTGGGCTTAGACTGAGTATTTTTAACTGGCCCTTGTGGATCAATGGAATAATCCTAAGCAGACTTACTCTATATCACACTATGGAATGTTCCAAGTAGGTGGCCATGTTTTCAAAAGATGTCTTTTCTCCTTTTGTTGTTGCCATTTTGTAGGTTTAGGATTGGGTGTGTGTTTCTCCTCTCTGAATGACACTCGAATGTTTGCTGACTCCTACTCTGTGTGACTGGGGTGTACAGCTGTGGACTGATGCATGCTGTCCCATCATCTTTCATGATCAAAGCAGTCTCTTCTTTTTTCACAGCTGAAGAAGCATCTGTAGGGAATCCAGAAGGAGCGTTCATGAAGGTGTTACAGGCCCGGAAGAAGCACACGAGCACTGAGCTGACTATTGAGCCGGAGGCGCCCTCAGACAGCAGTGACATCAACTTGTCAGGCTTTGGGAGTGAGCAGCTAGACACCAATGACGAGAATGAAGTTATCAGTGCACTAAGTTACATCTTGCCGTATTTCTCAGCGGTGAATCTAGATGTGAAATCAATGTTGTTACCGTTCATTAAACAGCTTTCTTCAAATGTGCAAGATGGAGATAGGCCCCTGGGTGTTTTGAAAAACAATATAAAGAGCCCCTCTCTTCAACCTGCATCTGACAACCCAACTTATGAAATTTATGAAAATAAATTGAGAAAGCTATACTTGCTGGAAAATATGTTAGATGCAGAAATACAGGAAAAAATCAATGAAGTTAAAAGGGAAGAAAAAACTGCCATGCTTATGCAGACCGGCCTTCTAGGTAACAAATTTAAACGCCAATTATTTGAAAAGAAATTAGAAACTGTCCAACCCCAGGAAAACAGCCTGGCAAAGATTCAAAGTGTAGGCAACAACCTGCAGAGAGTGAACAGAGTCCTCACGGGCCCAAGGAGCATCCAGAAAAGGCACTTCAAAGAGGTGGGAAAGCAGAGCACCAGGAGGGAAGAGGGTGCGCAGGCATTTGTGGAGAGCGCTGCCCAAGAAAAAAGGCTCGGGAGCCCGGTCTCAAGGGAGCTGGAACAGCCTCACACAGAGCAGGGGCGTGAGAAGTTAGTGGGAAACACCGTCTACACCAAGCCTTCGTTCACCCAAGAGCTTCACGCAGCAGTGTCTTCTGTGCTGAAACCCTTCTCCATGGGCGAGCCTTCTGCCTCCACCCCTGCAAAAGCCCTACCTCAGGTCAGAGACAGATCGAAAGACTTAACCCATGCCATTTTCATTTTAGACAAAGCAAAGGCTAGAGTTAAAAGTATGAAGGCTGCCAAACCAATTGTATATTCCCGAAAAAAATACCGCTATCATAAAACTCGCTCCCGCGTGGCCCACAGAACACTCAAGGCCAAAAAGAGTCAAAAGTTCAGAAAGAAAAGTTACCTCGATAGACTGATGCTCGCAAACAGGCTGCCATTCTCTGCAGTGAACAGCCTCATAAATTCCCCTTCACACGGGGCTTTTTCATCATTAGGAGACCCAAGTCCTCAGGAAAATCCTTTTCTGGAAGGATTTGCTCCTTCAGAACGTTTTATACAAAACACTAATGTAAAAGACACAACTGCAAGAAATGCCTTTGAAGAAAACGTTTCTATGGAAAACACTACTATGCCGGAAGGCACCATCTCTGAAAACACAACCCACAATCCTCCTCCTGAGGCAGATTCTGCTGGGACTGCATTCAACTTAGGGCCAGCTGTTAAACGAACTAATCAGACACAATGGGAATACAACAATGTGGGCACTGACCTGTCCTCCGAGCCCAAAAGCTTCAATTACCCGTTGCTCTCATCCCCAGGTGATCAGTTTGAAAATCAGCTAAGCGAGCAGCTACGGTCCCTCATCCCCAACAACAATGTGAGAAAGCTCATTTCTCATCTTATCCGGACCTTGAAGATGGACTGCTCTGACACCCGTGTGCAAGTGACCTGTGCCAAGCTCATCTCCAGGACAGGCCTCCTGATGAAGCTTCTCAGTGAGCAACAGGATGTAAAGGCATCCAAGGCAGAATGGGATACGGAACAGTGGAAAACTGAGAACTATATCAATGAGAGCACGGAAGCCCAGAGTGAACAGAAAGAGCAGAGGTTGAGTGAGGTGA